TGAATGTCTGTATCACTTACCTTCGCTGGTTGGTTGATGTATTCTCAAACACTGTAGGAATCCACCTGTGACCAAAGTGTCTAATGGAATGGCTACATCAGGCCACTGAAAGTTTCTCGTAGCGCCATTTTCTGTCGATCCTCTTAACTTCAGCACTTCTACTTAGTAGCAACTAGTGGTCGTAGGCTCCACGTATCTCTCTGCATATCCGGAGCTTGCTAAGTGCCACCCTCTTTCATCCCCAACCTTCATTCTTCTTGACTGTCTGCGTCACATTCATTTGCAGTCCGTTGACTTATCCTGGGACACTTAAGGTATCCACTAGCCACTAGAAGGCTTCACCCCAATGCCATTGCTAGTTGCGGATACTCTCTATCTCACCTTGTATCATTATCAGTTCTTCGCGTTACCTACGTCACCACTTTCCAGCTGCAGCTAGTCATTGCAGGTAGCATACATATCTACGCTAGGAGCCACTCTGCATCTCTCCAACTTACTCTCTTGAATTGTTAGCATAACATACCTTCACTGGTTTGTTGACTTCTTCTGTCACTGTAAGTATCTAATAAAAAAACTAAAAGGCTCAATGGAATTCCGTTGCTGCCCACTGGTTCTCTCTCTTAGCACAATTATCCTTCGTTCTTCTTATCTTCATTACGTTTACTGCAGTGATTCATTGTAGGCTCCATATATCTTTGCGCTTATCCGGAGCTACTAGAATACATTCTTCGTTTTTTCATCCTGTAATCTCTCAGAATGTCTGTATCACTTACCTTCGCTGGCTTGTTGATGTGTTCTGTGACACTGTAGGAATCCACTTGTGACCAAAATGTCTAATGGAATGGCTACTTCTGGCCACCGAATATTTCTCGTAGTGCCAGTTTCTGTCGATCCTCTTCACCTCAGCACTTCTACTTAGTAGCAACTAGTGGTCGTAGGCTCTATGCATCTCTGCACAAATCCGGAGCCTGCCAAGTGTAACCCTCTTTCATCCCCAACCTTCATTCTTTGTGACTGTCTGCGTCACATTCATTTGCTGACTGTTGACTTATTCTGGGACACTTTAGGTATCCACTAGCCACTAGAAGGCCACACCCCAATGCCATTGCTAGTTGCGGATACTCCCTATCTCGCTTTATATTAATAGCAGTTCTTCGTATTACTTATGTCACCACTTTTAGCTGCAGCCAGTCATAGTAGTTAGCATACATATCTACGCTAGTAGCCACTCTGTATCTCTCCCACTTACTCTCCTGAATTTTTAGCACCACATACCTTTACTGGTTTATTGACTTCTTCTGTCACTGCATCTAATAAATAACTAGAAGGTTCAATGGAATTCAGATGCTGTCCGCCGGTTCTCTCTCTTAGCACAATAATCCTTCGTTCTTCTTATCTTCATTACGTTTATTGCAGAGATTCATTGTAGGCTCCACACATCTTTGCGCCTATCCGGAGCTACTAGAATATATTCTTCGTTTCTCCATTCTGTAATCTCCCAGATTGTCTGTATCACTTACGTTCGCTGGCTTGTTGATGTGTTCTGTGACACTGTATCAATCCACTTGTAACCAAATAGCCTAATGGACTGGCTACATCAGGCCACCGAAAGTTTCTCGCAGCTCCATTTTCTGTCGATCCTCTTAAACCTAAGCACTTCTGCTTAGCAGCAACTAGTGGTCGTAGGCTCCACGCATTTCCGGAGCTTGCTAAGAGCCGCTCTCTTCCATCTCGAACATTTTTTGTGACTGTCTGCGTCACATGCATCCGCATTTTGCTTATTTGTTATGGGTAATTGTGGGCATACACTAGCAACTAAAAGGCTTCATGCAAATTCCATTGCTTATCACTGATACTCACACTTACAGCGACCCTATGTGTTCCTCGGCTTACCTCTGGCACCCGTGTTTAGCAGCAGCCCTTCTTCATAAGCTACTATCATCTTTGCGCATATACTAAGCTGCTAAGCACCACACTTTATCCCTCCAAGCTTTAATCCCTGGGACTGCGTGCGTCGCATACAATTGCTGTCTGTTGCCCTAATCAGGTGTCCACTAGCAATTATAAGGCCACACCTAAATGCCATTGCTCATCCGCGACACCTAATTGGCCGTAGTACAGCTCTCTCACTGCCTTATCCCGGCTCAGGCCTCCTTAATTATACTCCATTAGCACCACCGCATGATTTGATTAGCTGCACGTCGATGCGTCGTAGTCTATTATGCTCTAACTATCTAACAACCTCTTTGTATGCTTGCGCTTTACTTCTCCGCTGTCATTCCATCACGAAACCTCCCTTAGCTTTCTTCTGTCGTGCAAACATATCCAGGTATTCAGCATAAGCCGCTCTTCTGCCTCACATTTCTCGACCTTCATCTACCCATTACTTGCTGTATTGTCTTGGGCATTTTTTAGCTGCAATACTCCAGGTCTCGGGCTAGCAGTCCATGGCTCTATCCAGCTTGGCACAATTACCCTAGCACCCTGGATGCTGCGGTTAGGCCTCAGGTTCTGATATCCTCAGCAACCTTAATGTACGCATGTAATCTGGCTATTCGCGGTCCTTCCGTCAATTAGCCCTTCTTAGCTTTTTAATTCGGCACTCTCTCACCTGGTCAGTACAGAGACGCCCCTTAGCTTCTCATTTACAGGTGTTCATTCCTCAATTATTCGCTGCTATGATTTCAGAAGGTTTTGTATACAAATCGGTTTTGGTAGGGTTTTATTGTGGCAACGTTTCGCCCTTGACACAAAAGCTTCTTCAGGCCAGGCCTGAAGAAGCTTTTGTGTCAAGGGCGAAACGTTGCCACAATAAAACCCTACCAAAACCGATTTGTATACAAAACCTTCTGAAATCACGAATTCACAGTCGGTTCCAAACATATTCCAATATATTCGCTGCTATGTTTGCGAAACTTACCCATGTATGAGTCCAACAGACTCACTGGCTTTCCATGGGTCAGCATATTCTACGCTCCCCAGCGAATCTTCCCACGCAACAGTTGCATCATAGCAAACCGATCCTGTGTTTTCTTTGCTCAACGGCGCAACGCTCTATATCCAAGGTATACGGTAGCAACCAACCTATAAGGCTTTGCTTTCGATGAATATTCAAAAGACACTTTTAGCATAATCATTGTTACACATTGTACATCATATGTTTCCACTAAATGTTAGACCATAGGACACAAAAATAATGCTTGTTCCCACGTCTGTTCTTTGCGGCCCTGTTTGTCTCTCACCTTCCCTTTCTCCGAGGTCTGGAACTTCTTGGGGATCTGGGATCGGACCATGAAAGTGCTTGTGCCTGGGACAGGACATGGAAAGCCCCAAGGGCCTACATAGAACACGGCTGTACAACAAGTAGATAAAAATGCACTCACTGCCGTGACCGTCGTCCAGTAATGGTAGCTGGACATGACGCCTTCATACTCCTGCGAAGTATACATAATCCTGAGAAATCTAGACGCAAGAATCGGAAGTTTTGCTCACCTGGACACGAAGATGACAAAGGTCTAACCCTCCGTAGGCCTCAACCATTATGGCCGCTTCGACCAAAAATAATCTGTCCAGCTAACAGAGGAAATTAGAAGGCAATTGACGGTGGTTAACCGAGGGTTAAATCAGTCGACGAGCTGCTCTACCAGTTTTACATTAGTGTACAAACGGATTTTTGGCAGTGTTTCAGGACGTGGTGGGTTTTCGCCTGGCAAGCGTTCTCCCTATAAAAGCCACAAATGTCCGCTTGACAACACTGCGACTTGGCGGATGTGACTCGCCACTGAATAAAGTCACTGCCCACAACTACATACTGGCAAGCCGACCAGAATCCTAACGTAATATTTTCCTGACAAGTTTTCTCTACAAACGGAATGCCCAGCCTGTTTACACTGCGCACACTAGAACCCAACTTGTCGTCATGCATTGACGAATATATACCTCAAGATTAATTTTACACTTTCCAAAGCCTGCACAACTTTCGGCTTACTGCCGATTACATACATAGCAAGGCGTTTGTTGTGAAACAAAATTGCTGTAAACCTTGATCATGCCTGGTCTGGTGTGTCTCGGAAATTCGAGAATATACTATTTATTTATTTAAATAACTCGCACCTAGTTATCTGCTAATTCATCT